GGTATAGCGCTATCGCAAACGTAAAACAGTCGTTAATCCGTCGCAATTTTGCGACGAAAAAAATCTGCGTTTTGCGACGGAAAGTGACGGATAATTCCGTCGCAAATATTTTAAAAAACTTAAAAAAATATAAAAAAATTATATACTATATATATACATACATATATACATTTTCACATAACATACATTCATACACATACATTACACACATACAAATATACATACACATACATACATACATATACATATATTTTTATATACACAAACACACATACACATACATACATATATATATACACAAACACACATACACATTCACACATATACACATATATACACATACATAAATATTCATACACATATACATTTCACAAACACATACACATACGTATAAACACACACATATACACATATTCATATACACATACAATCACATATACATACACATACATATTCACATTCACATATATATACACATACACATACATAAACACACACACACACACATACACATTCACACATACATACACATTCACACATTCACTTACACACATATATAAACACACACATACACATTCGCATATATATATACACATTCACTTACACACACATACACATACATAAACACACACAAACATATCAAATACACACATATATATACATAAATACATATATATTACCTTATGGGAGAAATTTGGCGATCTTTGGAGAGATTTAGAAAAAATTTAGCGATTTTTATTTTTTTTCCGAAAATATTTGAAGTCTGGTGAAGAAGACGACTCGTGGTTTTATATTGTGTTTTGCGACGGAATTTTCCGTCGCAATCCGTCACAAAATGAAACTAATTTATGCGCCCAAAATTCAAAAAAATTCGTCGAAAAACGAAACCAAATACATTGCGACAGAATATTCTGTTGTAATCCGTCGCAATTTTTATTTTCCGTCGCAAACCATCTATTTCTTTATTGTGACAGAATTATCCGTCACAAACCGTAGCAAATTGTGACGGATTTTGCGACTATTTGCGACAGATAATTTTTTTCCACATTTTGTCATAAAATCGTCACATTCCGTCGCAATTTTCTATGCGACGGAAATTTCCATCGCAAATTCCGTCGCTATATGCAGGTTTTTTTGTAGTGATTGGATCACCGTCAAGAACATCCTGAAGTACTTGACAAGGATTAGGGATGTGTTCTTGGCATATGGTGGGTTGGAAGACGAGCTCGCTGTAAAAGGTTACACGGATGCTAGTTTTCAGTCAGACCCGGATGATTACAGATCGCAGTCTGGCTATGTTTTCTGCTTGAACGAAGGCGCTGTTAACTGGAAGAGTTCCAAACAAGCGACCGTTGTAGATTCTACTACAGAAGCTGAGTATATTGCAGCGTCGGACGCAACAAAGGAAGCTGTTTGGATCAGGAAATTTGATTGGCGACTTGGGTGTCATTCCCAGTATTGATAGCCCCATTGCTCTGTATTGTGACAACAATGGAGCGATCGCACAAGCGAAAGAACCCAGATCCCATCAACGATCCAAACACATACTCAGATGATTTCACCTTATCAGGGAGATCATAGATAGAGGAGACGTGCACATTTGCAGAGTGTCGACAGATGACAACATTGCTGATCCGTTGACGAAGCCTCTCCCTTCGTCGAAACATGAGGTCATGTTAGGGATATGGGCATTAGATGTTTAGCAGTCCATGATTAGAGCAAGTGGGTGATTGTTGGTTTAGTGCTCTATGATATACTGTTATGCGAGCTTTGTTTAGATGCATTTGATGTATTGACACTTTCAGTCTATTTATGGATGGATGAATGTTTTATTCATTACATATTGTGCATACTTATGTGTTATGAAATCCATGTATTGTTATGAACAATGCTAAACTCCCTAGTCATGTATCATTGTGGGAATAATGATATACTAAGACTAGTATAATGTGTGATTGATGATCATATAGATGATCATAGGAATTGGATACGATCACAATCATAGGTATTCGTTGGAGAACGAAATACTGGAATGACCCGCATGAGATTGTCACATGGACTAGCGTCATGACTTGAATCTCATATGGCAGTTCCATGATTGGATCCTAAGACCTGAGATATCTACGGAATCCAATATGAGGAGTTGCGTGCTTTGCATACGTCAAACATCCTTTGTAATAACCCGTAAATTCGACTTTCAAACCAAATTTTAGGAAATCAGATATGAGCCATAAAAATGTCCCTAAAATATTGAATTAGACACTAACCAAGTTGACCCGAAGAATTGGACCGAAACGAGCGAGAAAAACGGACGAAAACGGGCTAGAACGTCCGGTCTGACAAGCAGACCGTCCGTTCTGCTTGTGCAGACCGTCCGTTCCGGCGGTCTTGGCCAGGTCACGCGCCGCCTCTTCCTTTCTGCTGAGTCACCGCCGCAATTTCGGCCTCCCTCCGGCGTGTGCCACCTCCTGCTTCTTCTGAGACGCGAGAACTGCCCTAGGTCCGCCCATTTCACAGTTCTTCGCCTCTCACTTCGCCCTTTCACTCCTCCACAAACTCTCTCAAAAGTTCGAAACTTCAACCTTCGATTGGAGCCCCGATTTTGATCGAAATCAACAAATAAACACAGCAATCAACCCTACATAACATCCCCAACGAAACCCCGAGCTCGAATTTGAGCTAAGTGAGTGTTTCGGATTCTGCCCGAAAATGTTAATCAAATTGAAAATGGAGATTTGATTGCTTTGAGTGAAAATTGCATGAAATTGGTGTTAGATTTGGATTCCTGATGTTTTAGGGATCATTTTTATGTATAACTTGTTGAGTTTGGTGCGAAAATTGGGAACCCGAAGTTCCTGGTGCGCCTAGACCGAATGGTCTAGGCATGGACCGTCCGTTCTAGGGTTTGCAGGGTTTTGGGGGAAGAAGACGAGTCCAGACCGTCCGCTCTGGACCTGGACCGTCCGTTCTGACCTAGAATGTCCGTTCCAGCTTCGGCCAAACCGAAGGGACCAAGCCACCAGACCGTCCGTTCCAGACGGGGTAGAACGTCCGTTCTAGACCCCTGTCTCCCCGTCTTGGCTCGTTTCTTCGGATCGAGCGGGACCCGATGCTACCAACCCCTATACGTGACCTACCCTGACCCATTCCTTACCCGTATTTCATGAAATCGAATGAAACAACCTACGGTAAGTAAAACCTTCGGAACGAGTTGAATTGGTAATCCGAGATGGTCGAAACCCAATTTGATCGGATCGGAGGATAAAAGAATAGAATGCACGTAAAGGAGTCGATATACCAAAAATGACAAGTAAGGACGTATGTATATATGCTTAAAGTATAATGATATACGAGTGTGTGTGATTGGGGAAATCGGGTAGTTGGCATGGCGTGAGACTTTATTCCGGAGGGCCGGGATAAGGTTGAGCATGTGATTATAGCGGGGTTGAGGTGATATCCCGATGGTTGTATTGTTGAGATCTCCTCTTTATGATCTCTGACCTGGGTCGGGTTTCATGTTGAGGAGGCATGATTGTGATTGATAGCCCACGAGCAGAGCTTGGAGCCGATGATACACGTGATAGTCTTGAGTGATTCGGCTATCACGGGGTTGAGGAAATCCTACGGTTACACTGGAACCCGGCC